TACTTCACTCTTTAGTGCATATACAGTTATATATTTACTCTCCATGCATATGTATCCTTATAATGGACGCATATAGCGTGTTTGTATGTGTATTGTGCTTACCTCATTCCAACCGTAGCTATTTTTCGCCTGCACTATCGCTTCGTAGTAAGCGCCAGGATGTAGATTCTTTATGGTATATGACATGATGTGTGTAAGTGGCTCCGATGCGGGACGATGTTCAGGTGTCAGTATGAAGTCATGCCATCTTCCTGGCTGTTGGAATGTGTCATTCATCTGCAGAGAGTTGAGAGATAAATTGTGAAATCTTATTATATGTATATATACAAGTGAGTGGAGGTAAAGTTAAAATTTTATTTATTAATCCTAGAAGACGGAATATATTTCACGTTACCCGCATAAATACAATACGTTTTGGGCTTTGTGAGATCACAGATATTCATATATGTTTTACAAGTGGAATGTAAATGTTTTCTTCCCAGATTAGTAATCACCCTAATGTAAATTAATCCAGAAAATACTGACTTATACTCTAATGAAGATTACATTCAAACAAATGAACTAACTCCGAAGTTCTCATATGATTACGCAGTGGAAATACAGAAATTTAAAAATTGAAATTTAGTTAGCAAGCTGTATTCTTCTAAACACAGAAGAGAGACTGATTCTAGTTTTTATTTTTTTTCTTCAATCAATCAATTTGAGAGAAAAATACTGCGCACCACTTCGTTTGGATTGGCTCTGTAACTTCTAATATTGTTTTCGAGCGAAAGTTCGTATTTCGAAGTAGCTGCGCCCTTGAAGACATCCGGTGAAGGTATCTTTTCATCCTTCAAATGTAGAGCAACCAGATTGTACCATACTGAATACTTTCCGAGCTAACGGTTATTCAAGCATTTTCTAAAGAAAGAACCTAAGTGCCTTCTTATCTGATGAGTTGGCACGCTTTCCTCTAAGCTGCCTTAGAATAGCTCTTTCAAACACTGTTTGAAGCAATGTACCTTAGAAGAACACTTTAAGCCTTGCAACACAGTACATATCATAAATTTTTTTTGCGGTAGTTTTGATGGGTGGCAGACTAAAAGCTTCTGCTTGTAGACCAAAGGGCACTTAGTAGTAGTGTAATGGTCATCACAGGACACCTACTCTTAAGATTGAAAATTGAAATAGTGGATTCGACGGAAACAACTGATCGTAACAGCACGGCGACAATCAATAGACACATCGTTCATGGGAAATAGATGAGCGATTTTGTAGGTTATGAAGATCGTCATGTACTTTGTTGAGATTATGAGGAAACTTATCTGTAATTCGAAACAGTACAATYGTTGTTGTTGTTGCAACAGGTACCTAATCCCCRTTAGKAAGGTAGGGATTAGATAAGTGTCATCTACGTCATCTACGTCATTCAACGGTAGGCCCAGGAAACGTGCTGTTTCGGACGGGTCGGACCATAGGGAGAGGGATGTCAGCTKTGTCGGTTTAGAAGAGTATGCAAAGAGTTGGCCAGTGTCATGCGGGGTGTTAAAATGTTAGGGTTTATTATAGATAAGTAGGAGTTTAAACCTGCTACAGTATCCAGAGTGAAACTGACCCTAGCACTCYCGTTTTTCGCGGCAACTCGAGCTCCTGGTCTCCAAACACGCCATTCACTGAGAGGGTGTCGTGAAGGTGTTAATAGCTCCACTATGAATGACGGTCAGTGCATGTCTGTAGTAAGTTGCGTCCGAAGTCAGGTCAGCGTATTGATTTATGTCATCTAGGTACTAGTTTTCGAGA